ATTTTAAGCCTATAATAGGATGCCTAGACCTGTTTTTATTTTATTTTTTTTTTCGCCCTGTCGCTTCATATTTTTTCTGAAAAAATCCAAGAATCAACAAATTAAATTGGTGTGGCCTCAATTCAAAAAGTCCTCTCTATCTTGTTTGAAAGTGGGCTTACCTGATGGCCAAAGGTAATCTAGAAACAGATGTAATCTCAGTGTTTTACAGGTGTTTTTGCAACATTTTAAACATCTTTCTTGTGATACATCTTTTTAACTGGCCACCTCCTTCATATTAAATCTTGCAAAAATACATGTGAAACACTGAGATCCTAACATCTGCTTGGAGATAGGCCATAGCTGACTTTGTGACACTTGACTCCCTGAAGTCAATTTTTTTATTTATGTGTGTTTTATTGTCATATACATGTATTGCAATGTACATTCTGTACTTTAAAATGTACATAATGCTGCTAGCTACTATGTTAAATGCTTCCTATGCATCATCCTTACCTCTTAAGTAATGTTCTCTACTTTAACAATATACTCCATCTTCCTAGGAACTGTCTCCTTTATCTGGTGTTCCTGAGGAGCAGCTGTCCACCCGTAAGGCCAGGATCTTTGTCCCAGCCCGTAATGCCATGCAGTCTGGCTCAGCGGGCACGCGACAGTGGAAGATAGAGTTCGACACAAGGGAGAGATGGGAGAACCCACTGATGGGATGGGGGTCCTCGTAAGTCTTGACTTCTGTAAAATTTATTATACATGTACCGGTACATGTATCATAAGTACTAAAATGTCTAGAAATAAAACTCACATGCAGTGAGTGACCCTGCCTCTGGACCAAAAGGTTGGGAGTTTGATTCCCAGCTGTTTTCACTAACCCTACATGTACATGTACATGCAGGCTGCTGGAAAGCTAAAGATACTATTTATAGTAGTCCTTAGGACTAGGTGTTCTTGGGGATGCCGGTCAGGACAAGGTTGCTGGTGGTCTTCCTACTCTAGTGAATTGTAGGGATTCTTGCAATTGGTTGAGGCCATCTGAATGTTATGGGGTGGTTCACAACTTCACACTGTAGATTGTACTTGTCAAAAAAATCTAGGGGAATTTCCCTGGTGCAATGAACCTGAACATTGTACTGTACACATCATCAGATTCTGTCTTCCCTTTCATCAATTCTTAAGCAAGCTAAAAGTGTTTGAGATCACTTTCTTACATATACTAGTATGCATGAATACGCATGGTTTTTAATTTTTGCACCACCCCCCACTCACAAAATAAAAGGATGATGAGATTTATGCCCAATGTATATTTAACTTTTTTTAAGGTCATTGAGTGACCTTGATGTGAGAGTAAATTTTGATATCAATAAAATGATAGTCTGTCATTGCAATGACATTAAGTTCTACAGGGACAATAAAATGCAGTACATGACATTATATGGACATTTGGCATAATTTCTTGCCATTGTGGGAATTAATAAATAATCTGTCATGTCAATCTTGGCCATACCTTGCCATGAAGTGATATTTTAATTTTGTATAATTTCAGGTCATTTGCCTTAAAATTGATAGAGATAAATGTAATCCCTTTAAATGACATTACAGAAAGAGGAAGAGAGGAGAAAATATATTTCCTCCCTATACTATTACCTAGGCTATAGGGAAATCCAAATGAAGCTTAGCATCATCATCATACTTACTAGTATTACATTCAAAACTAAGAAGTGTGGTACATTGGGCAATATGGTTGGAGAACCATACGGTTACAACTCGTGTCCCATGAAAATACAGTCAAACTTCCGGCTGCAAACCACGTCATGCTCTCTTTTTTTGTACATTATTGAAAGAAACAATTAAGGCTTAAAGCTTAAAGTAAGGCTTAAAGCTACGTTGAAACAGTCCCATCCAATTTTACTTCGTCCATGTACATTTGATTAATATCATATATTGTCTCACACAGTCATGTTTCATTGTCTTGGCGCCATCATATTCTTGTGGTGGGTTAATGAACTCATAATGATTTCTGGAAGAGTAACGAGTCTGTATAACTTTTTTTACAATTTTGCATCAAAAGTATTGATGCTATTAGCTAAGAATTTATTCCTGAATTCCTAATGAAATCCGTACATGATGTAGACAGTAGACATACGTAAAATTTTAATGTGTAGGTATCATACATGTAGGTATCATACATTTTGTACACTTGTCTAGTGCTTTTTGCATGTGTGTAATACTTGGCCTTTGAAGTACCTTACATGTACATGTACTGTCTAGTAGTTGTAGGTATGTATGAAGCATGGTTTTCCCAGCGGCATTGTTACAGTGCCAATCCTTTAAGATAGCCCAGGTTTTAGTATCGCCTGAAGACTTGCAGACATGGAGCCACGTCTAATCCCTAAATAAAACCTCCCCATCTCTCACTGCACTCACAAATCTGCAGCAGGATGAGTTCCAGTACAGACACAGCAGTCGCATGATCTGTACTTCCGGCACGTTTTGGAGGCCATTAAGAGTCAGGTATCAGACATAGAGACAATGTGTCTCATACTAAAACATAAAGAAATCAGACCTCCTTTTTTCTCCACTGATGGCCAGGCATACTGCTATTCGCTAGATGCTGTTTTCAACACTGACGTACTTTATTTCTGGAATGAGATCAATGATAATCTGCCCATAAAAGTCATAGAGAAGTTCATGATCAGTTCATGGTTGTATAAATGTGGCAACTTTACTAGTATGCTGTAGCGCAGCTAAATTAATATCATACTTTTCTTCATAGATTTTGCTGAATAGAAATAACTCTGTATAAATATATTTGTTTCAACTTCAAGGGATTGGAATGGAGACACACATTGACAACTTGAGAAATGACTACTCCTTTTTCTCACTCGTTTTGTAAATGTACATGTATTCCATAGGTGTGACAGTGACACTACCTAGTGGTGATGTTCGTAGTAGGATAAACTTCTTCACATGTCATACCTCAAGGGATTTTGCAACCTCAGGGAAGACTACAACTTACAAGTAAGTTCTTCTAGTGAAGAGACTTGTGGTGACTCAAAATGCTCTCTAGTATACATGTATGTTTCACTGCTTCCCAGGGCTGACCCCCTCTCCAACTTGGCTGTCACGCTGTCTTTTGACTCAAAGGAGGATGCTATGGCGTACTGTGACAGAAATGGTAAGCAGCATTCTTGTGAAGTATCTTAAAATACGGTCAACCTCAACTTGAAGATGTAATAGTCTTGAGCTGGCCTTACCATGCACTAATGCTACACAATATTCAAATTAGGGCTTGGGAAGTGGAAAAGAATCTTTGTCTTCAAGTAATGTTTGAGATACGTGTATCATAAATAGATGCTTGTGTTAGGTAATATCATGAAATACTAACTGTTTTTTGAAGCTGGCACTAGCAGTTGTTTTGACATCTTTTCACTTCAGGTTGGGCTTGGGAAGTGGAAGAAAAGCGTGAACCAAGAATGCGGGCCAAGTCCTACGGCGCTAACTTCTCCTGGGACAAGAAAACGCGAGTGTCAACCAAGTAGTATAGAGTCTGTATTAAGGTTTTCATGTGTAAGCAAAAAATGTGTTGAGCAGAATTTATGTCTTGTTATTTCATTTACACTATAGAATGATGCATGTATCTGACCAAGACTGCTATTGGTGGTGTGGACTTTGGTCATAGTTTAGGTGTCTGTATCTGAATTAAAAAGTGAACATATCAGTGTGTGTTCGTCTTTGATCCCAACTGTTAGGGGCAAAAGTTATTTGAATAAGATGTTTAAAGTTAAAACCAAGTTTAAAGTTTTTTCCAACACAAAAGGGAAATATTCTCACCTAGAGCTTTCGACCAGTCACTCTGGTCTTCTTCAATAGACTGACCCAGTGAGACTTGTCAGGTGGCTTCTCTGGACTGAAGTGAGACATCAACATTGGGTCAAAAATATCTAGTAAACGATGTCAGCCCCCCGTCATGGTTGATTATGTAAGATATCGTTTTTTCATGTCTTAGTTTGTATGTAATGTGGAGTTGTACTCAATGGTGTAGGCCATTTCCAACTCGAAAGTGCTGTCTGTGCTTATTTGCAGCAGTCAGTAAAACATGTCTATCTAGCAGAGAGTGAATGCAGAGAGTGAATGTTTTGTATCACAGCATAGCTATCCAGCCTATTGTAGGACCGTCAGAAATGTCTGTGGTTGGTCGGTGTAAGTCCTCCGGACATCCCCCGACTGCTTAATGTGTCCCACACAGACACAGTAGCTGCCATGTATGGGAAACCCGTGCAGATGCCCCACACTCTTTCCCAACCAGCTCATGCAATAAACAGGATTCCTGACATTCACGGTTTGCAGGGACTGAGCGATTTCCTCGCATTTGCAAACCCGGCAGGCAGCCCCATCATTTGCCAGGGGACTCCAAAACAGTCCTGGCTGGCAAGGGTCAACGAAAGGACATGTAAAACAACAGTACGGGATTAGGGGTACTGGTACCGTACTGTAAAAATCTTCCAGGAAAAGACACAAAATACATTGTACATTACTGAAAGTGAATGTATGCTAATGTGCCGAAACAAAATTACACAATTACAAAAGATGACAATTTACCGGTAGCACTGGAAAAACATGAAAACATACATTATAGTGTGGGTGTTGAAATGATTTGTAGTGAATCACCAACTTCCAGATACTAGTAATGTTTGGACCATCGCACACCGGGGCATGCCCCTACTGTATTCCGAAAGGTGTGGTGGGTTCATTTAAGTGCATGAAGTGTGGCTCTGTCCAAACACGGGACCTCCATCTAACATCCAAGGATCATCCCTAGCCAAAGCTAGGTACTCATTTTCACCTGAGTGAAGTGAGGAAAGCCGTGTTAAGTGCTTTCCCAAGGACACAAGGTCAGTGACATGGCAGGATTCGAACCCTGGACCTGTTGGTTCTGAGCTGAACACTCACTCTGTCTTTGTGCCACACGACCACACCGAATGGTTTTGTATACACCATGTATGAGCCCCAGTGTTGGCTGACTTTTTGACATGTACACTGTGTGTTGAACTCAGGGCTGTGACCACTAAGCCGCTCTGTGTGACGGCGCTGACCTGCCCTTGACCCTGTAAATACTTGTAAATACACCTGTATCATCACCACACGCACACAGGATTAACAACCCCTACTACACGTTTCCCCCGGGGTGGTCTTTCTCCTGGGCCACATGTTCGCTCCAGAGAATGTCTGGCAAGGATGAATTACATAATAGAACAAGTACTGTAACTCCCAATTTTTTCGCAGTACTTTTACATTCGCAGTTTACGCAGTCACCCCTGTACCGCGAACTTATCATTACCGTGAAAAAAGTACTTCTCCGACTTTCTTTTTGCTGCACCTGCCACCACTGCGAATGTATAGAGTTCTGCGAACATGTCCATTTTTCTCCGACTGCAAACTTCTGCTACCGCGAACATAAAGTGGTTTACAGTACATCCAGGGCCTGGTGTCCTGTAGGTCGTCCTACGAGTTTTGATGTCATCAGATTTTCAACCAGGCTGTGGCAGAACCAACCTTTGTCAGGGATCATCGACAGTTTTATACGTAACAGCTAAAGTTTGTTGAGACAGATGCAAGACTCTAGAATGCAGGCCTCAAAATTAACCGTTTTTACTATTGTCCCAGAATTGTCCCGAACATAGATTTCAATTGTCCCAAACTGAGGATGGACTGTCACAACCTGCTTTTCAGGAAATAAGTTTATGACAACAATAAGAAAACAACGACAACTGAATTTGTGCAACATGATAGTATCATGGGCATGGCACCATCTTTGAGGCCCCCCTAGAATCCCTGATTGGTCAAATTTAAATGTTTGAACATAAATTTGAATATTATGGGCTGCATGGATGGATTGCATTTCTAAATGACATGGACGGTCTCAGTTGCCCCGAAATTGTCCCGAAATGTAATTTGAATTGTCCCGAGCTGAAAATTTAGTGTCATTTGACACTGGGACAATGTTAATTTCGAGCCCTGGAATGTCGTCATTTCACGATTGTACACCAATCACACGATGTATACCTACATTGTACATCTTGGGAAATGTGCACACCATGTGCCATGAACATAAATTGTGACCCAGTCACCTTACCAGCCTACATCAATGCTGACATTGCGTGAGGACAACTGCAGATCTATTTTACATCTCAACTTGATCAAAGACAAACATTGATTAAGGTTTTAACCAAATGTTATAATTCTCTTGGGAAGAAACCATTAATGATCAATTATCATAGAGGAAACTGCATTAATTGAGCCTCCCACACAGGTAAGAACACTGTCAGGTACATACATTGTATATTTTCTTACATCAATAACAATGATAAGGCACCGGATACTTGCAGGATTGCAGTATTCAAGTGATGATAAGAAAACATTCAAGGCATCTTATCTCCAAACACTTTGATCAGACATAAATCATTGAGATTCACGACAATACCAGAGTACATGTGCGTGCAGACAAGACAAAAACACAATCCACTGCGTATCTGGCATTGAAAACCAGGCCAAGTCTCCTTGAAGAGGGATTCTATCTCTTGTTTTAGACGCCGAGTGCCACTGAAGATAGATGATACTGACTCTACATATACCAGCCTTTGATGCTTCCATATCTTCTTCAATGTCATACATTTGTACCTGCTGCCTGTTCCTCACAGAAACAATCTTGTTTCCTGTTGAGGACAAGGCTCATCCGATGGCCATTGCATTGGTTACGCCCTTGAAGGCTATGTTGTTTTGAACATCTTTTGACATGTCCAAGAATATGTTGTGGTTGATGTTCAAGGTTAGTATGATTCTTGTTGTATGGTCCTTGACTTTAGTTATCATTTCAGTATCATTTCAGTTTTCTCATCCCATTCAAGTTCAACCATGACAACAAAATTCATTTGGGTTGTTCTTAGTTTTGAAATCATTACTTAGAACATGATTTTATATTGGAAACGTGAAGTCCCTGTGGTTAACATACATGTAGGTGAGCCACATTCCCATGCATGTTAAAGGTCTGCTTCTTACTCTTCAACAGTTTATCTTGCAAATGTTCGGATCTTTCGAGCAGGCTGACTCTCTGGCAAACCTGCATCCACGGGTGAAGACCTAGGGGGCGACTCGGGCGGTTATGTCGTGAAGGATGATGGGTGGGTGGAGACAGAGGAGTGGTCTCATCTCCGGTCTTACACCACTATAACGACCTTGAGATGTCCAGGCAACCAGCCTGTTTTGACAAGTGCAGCCTAGGGAAAAAAATGTTGTTTCCTGTTTCAGGCTTGAAAAAAAATTAGGGTCGGCAGGTTGGAATTATCTTTTCTTTTTTACGTAGGCTTTGGTGGTCTCCAGTGATTCAACTTTCGTCTTCACCAGAGCTCTTTTGCAGGCTGAATAAATAGTAGAAATCGGCCTAAAAGGGGGATGTCAAACTAGATCCTCTATGGCCGGTCAACTCCTCGGGATCCTCTATGGCCGGTCAACTCCTCGGGCCGATGATATCCCCTTTTTAGGACAAATTCTACAGTAACTATTTATTCAGCCTATATGTTCATATAGTCTGGTGGAGACTACAATATAATTCAACTTAAAGGAGACAGTTTAGCAAAGTAAAACTTCCATGAGGACACATATTTTCAATGTCGAAGATGGAAAACTGATTGTTCATCACTCAGGTGTCAGATCATGAAGCTAAGAAAGGTTGGTCAGCTAGAAAAATTTTTGTCTCTTGCAGGGGTCCACACAAAGAAGAGAATAGGGTCAGCAGTTTTTTTCTAGGGTCATTCAGGAAACACAACATTTTTTTTCCTAGGCCTGACGATAATGAGGGTGGGAGGTTTTGGAGACAGAGACTCACTTACATGTATGTGCATGTACATGTACATGTAGGAGGGAAAGGAAGTATTCACATTGTTTGGGCAGAGCACAGAACTCACTGTGAAAACCATGAACATAAAACAATTGTGAAGATATTTCACAGTTAAGAATCACAAATATGGTAGCCAACATTTATGTGTACATGTCATCTCAGCAATGCTTCACATCTTGACTACAATAACTGCTATTGTCACAGTTCTTGCAATATCAGTGTTTGCACTTCTTCAAAAGCATAAAGTGCAAATAAAGTTTGCATTTTCAGGTAAGCACATTTTGTGCCATCCCAACTCATCTCCATAAGTGTGTTGGGTTCTTTTTACCAGCAGGTGTTTGATGCTTGTGGCTAACGCCTGAAGCTCCCAATTAGGCCACACCAATTTAATTTGTTGGTTCTCGGATTCGCCTCTTTGTTTTTTTCTGATTTGCAAAAAAAAAAATTTGATTCTGGTCCTGAATCAACTGAAAAATGCTTATGTTTTGCCCCGAACAGTTGAGGAAAGTCCTTTTCTTCCTAGTTGTTACAGTTTTCCCATCTATCATTGCAGTGGTATGATTAAAAGTTCAAAATTCAATGTTTAAATTTCAACCAAGCCTTTTGTGTTGACTAAATGGCTCATTTCATAGCATTTAAGCCTATACATGTAATAGGATGCCTAGACCTGTTTTTATTTTTATTTTTTTTCGCCCTGTCGCTTCATATTTTTTCTGAAAAAATCAGAGAACCAACAAATTAAATTGGTGTGGCCTTAATGCACAAAATGCTATCACGTACCATTAGTTCTGCTTTAGCGGACAGTACATGCATGTTGTAAG